CCAACACAGGTATCCAATTTCTTCTGGGAACCAAGAATGAGAATGTTCCAAGTTCAGCTAGGATGTAACTGTAAAAATTGCTCCATGTTCAGAAAAATACCTAAATAAAATACTTTTTTCAAGTGCCACCTACTGCCCCATTAGAGCTAGTGCTCAAACAAGTCCCTCCTACCAGCCCCACTCTCACAGGAACCAGTGGCACACAGCTTTTCTTGCAGACGTGTCTGCAGCATTAATATGTGAGACCGGCAACTGAGGAGCAGGGTACACTGAAAATCTTGTCAACAGCCCATGGGAATTTGGAAGGGCATGGTAATTCACATGTAAGTAAATCTTGACAAAGTTGTTAATTTCTTTAGGTATAGGAAGAATTCTATAATCAAGCTTCTCCGGTCTTTTCTCTATTTCTACCTTGTAGGCCCATCAGAGCACTGTTTCTGAAATCATTAAGTTGTGCAGGAGTTCAGCATTGTTTACTCAAATGTGAACAACATAGTGAATCTGTTAAAAGGATAACCATCCAGGTAATTAAATAATCACATTAATGTGGACTGGAATGACCACTTTCAAAGATCACACCAGAAGTACAGAACACTTGGGGTTCCCCAAGGAACCCAGCTTGAAAACCACTAAGCCAGGAAGTTAGGGAGCACATGAAATAGAGGAGGAATGGCGCAATTTATACTAAGATCCTTTGTGAGCTCATTTTCAAATTTTGGGATACTCAAAGTATAATTTCTTAACTAATACTTAACATGTTGAACACTAAATTACCATTGATTTGTGAGATATCTTGTCCTAGTTTTTAAATAGATATTTTCAAATAATACAAGGAATAGCAATCTCAAGCTTTATTTTAATAAAGACCTTGTTTTATGATAGCAACATGAGAACCGTGGGGTGTTTTTTTTTGGGGGGGGGCACAAGTCATTTGGTGCTATGATTAAGATTTAAAGTTTTTGTTTGATATTAAATCATGGAGAGAAAGGCATTTTAAACAGTAATGGCATTAAAATTTATTAACAGCATTCAGCTTCCAAAATGTTAAATTATATATACTAAATGTCAAAGTAAAAACCCAAAAGATTAGTGGAAATTACTTGAAATGCTAGAATGTTCGTGGCACATCAAGGATTCAAATCTGCTCATTTCAAATAAAGAACAGCAAGTCTATGGAATGGCAGCAACAATGACTATGGGAAGAGTAGCTGTCAGCCCACACACAGCATTAAACAGCTACTTGCTTCCCAACTTACCATCTTCCTTTTTCTCTCTGCAATCTGCTCCTCTGATTCCATTTCTACTTCATTACTAATAGGAGTTTTTTCTTCTATCTCATCAATAAACTCTGGTTCCTGAAAGATGGAAATGAGTGCTCTATAGAAAATGCTATGCATCAATAAACTAAGTATCTTTCAGCCACTACAAGCAAACAATTCAACATATGAAAATTACAAGCCCACCTAATTCTATTTAAAACTGGTTTTCTGTTCCAAGAAACATTTCAAAATCAACCATTTACATATTACTTTTGTAAATTCTAATCAATGGAGCCCAAGGTCGTGCATAATAGCATGGCCTTGTATTTATATTCTTCCCAAGACATTTTTCACAAAACTCAGTGTTCATATGAATTCCAAGTTCTCAATAAATATTTGTTCAATTTAAAGCCTTAAAGTAAATCTTAATAAAGATAGTATACCGGGAATGAACAAAACCTTTATTTTCATCTTACAATATTCCAAACTTCTATTTTTTAAGGGACTACAGAATTCATGGAAAAATGGAATTAAAAGGTAATGGAATTTTCACACGAACTTAACGTATATACTTGAGTATAAGCCGACCTCAATATCAGCCAAGGCACCTAATTTTGCCACAAAAACTACATTAAAAATGTGCTGAAATGACATCCCGCACTGACCCATAGCCCTACAGGGGACAACACTGGAGACACAGTGTGGGAATTGCCCCCATCTGATCCGAGGCAAAACACTTATGGCCTTGCAACAGAACAGCAAGGGGAGCAGAGCAATGAAGTCCCCAGGGAATACCAAAAATAGACATTGGGGCCAGGGCGTGGCATCCCATCAGACTCCACCAGAAAACACTCCTAAGGGTCAACAAACAGACCATGAACTATTTACAGGCTTTTCTTTTTTTGTCATTGTTTTGCTCTGTCTTGTTTTTGTGCATATTATCTCTGCAGGTCTATCTAGGTAAGATAGGCTGGATAAACAATCTGAAGGAGAAAACAGGACCCACGGTGGTTCCTGGAGACATGGGAGAGGGGAAGGCGGGGTGGGGGTGGGTGTTAACAAACCCAGGGGCAAGGGAGCAACAAATGATCCAAAATCAGTGGTCAGGAGGGGCTAAGAGGCCTGGTAGGGCTTGATCAAGGGCAATGTAACAGAGAGGAAAGTAAAAGGAAATAGAGGAAAGAGCTAAAAGGCCAAGGGGATTTATAGAGGTCTAAATACAATCAAATACATATGTAAATGGTATTTTTATATGATGGGGAAAGAGATCTATGTGCACATATTTATAGGTTTAGTATTAAGGTAGCAGATGGTGGGGAAAGATCTATGTGCACATATTTATAGGTTTAGTATTAAGGTAGCAGATGGACATTGGGCTGCCACTCAAGTGCATTCCATGATGCTCACCTTCCCAACACGATTGCTGAAGACAAAGCGGGTGCATAAGCAAATGTGGAGAAAGCTGATGGAGCCCAGCTATCAATTGCATCTAGGGTCTTTCAGGCTTGCAGATAAACAAGCAGCCATCTAGCTCAGATAGCAACTAGAAACACAAGGCATCCAGGACAAATGAACCCTTCAGGACCGTTGGTGAGAGTGGCGATACCGGGAGGATGGAGGGAAGGTTGGGTAGAAAGGGGGAACCGATTACAAGGATCTACATATAACCCTCTCCCTGGGGGACAGACAACAGAAAAGTGGGTGAAGGGAGATGTTGGACAGTGTTCAAGACATGACAATAATTCATAAATTATCAAGGGTTCATGAGGGGGGAGGGGAAAATAAGCTGATACCAAGAGCTCAAGTAGAAAGCAAATGTTTTGAGAATACGAGGGCAATAATGTACAAATGTGCTTGATACAATGGATGGATGGATAGTGATGAGTTGTACGAGCGCCCAATAAAATGATTTTTTAAAAAGAAATAAAATTGATTATCCTCCACCAAAAAAAGTGCTGAAAAACTCGGCTTATACATGAGTATATACGGTAATAAGTCCTTATGGATTTCTCTTTCAGAAATCTTACTTGCTATAAAATTGATAAAATGAAATCTTATAAAATTGGTAAAAATTGCGTCCCAAATTCTTTAGAGAAGAAATTGTTACAACAGAAGATTTAAATAACAATTATTATAAACATAAAGAAATGGCTATCTGGAAGATTCTTAAAAATTACCCAGTCATAAGGAAACCTTAACTGCAAATATTTAACAATATATTTCTTATTAATTTAACAAGCACACAAATTCCAGCAAAACTTGTATTTATACCTACAAGTCCTTCAAATAACAAAGGGCTTAGCAATATTTTTAACTATATTACATGAAACTAAAAGGTTCAAAAGTGACATTTTCTTCCTTAGGTAAGATGGGTTTCTCATTGGGAGTCACTAGGGCAAGTCATCAATACCTGATTATTTGACACTGATAGTCTCAGTGGAGACAGCTTTCTTTGTTTCATTTCTGGGCTCTTTATTTTGTTGGTGGTTCCATCACAATCCAAAGTGATATTCTGATTCTGTGTATCTTTTTCTTTTGAAATATCCTTCTCCTTTTTTCCTTTTTTCCTTCGGGTCTCATAACCACTATTGATGTTTTCCGTGGATTCACAACTACGTTTTAGGACAGGACATTCTGGGTTTTCTTGGAGGCATGCACAATCCACCTTGTACTTACTGGAAAGATAATTACATAATTAATACAAGATATAAACAAATGCTGTAAAATATAACCCATTTTCAGCTCCAATTCCACATAATTGTATACTATTATAAGTTATAAGCCATCCTGACTTTTTACTACTTTGTATTCCTGGTTATGATAATAAATGAAATTTTAGATTCTTATTAAGCACTAACTTATTACTGGAAGTTAGTTTGTGATCAGAGGTTGGGTTTCAGTGATAAAAGAAAAAACAGTAAAACCTTTAAAGTTTTCAAAATAGAAGGATACTGCAGTTTACATAAAATAACATGTAAGCAAAACTCCTAATTCTGACCTTCAATTGGCCTCAATAAAAAATGTTTGGTAAAATAAATACCACACATCAACTCGTTTGTCCTATAGGAAATAATTTGAGCAATCATTACTTTTAAAAGTTACCTTGAAGATTTTTGTTATATTTCTTTTTGGCCCTATTAAATATTTCCTCTTAAATGGAACCTTGAAAAATAATGTGCTATCCCTCATTCAGTGGAGCTTGGTGGCATAGTGGTTATGTGTTGGGCTGTAATCCTCAAGGCCAGCAATTCAAAACCACCAGCCACTCCGAGGGAGAAAGATAGGGCTTTCTACTCCCATTAACAGATAAGAGTCTTGGAAACTCACGGGGGCAGTTCTATCCTGTCCTATAGAGTTACATTCCCTTGATGACAGTTTTTTAAATTTATCCCTCATTTTCACAGTCATAATTATTACTTCCATTTTACAGATGAGATAAAATTGCTGCAGGCCAGTAACTTTGTCAGGAGTCAGTTACAAGCCACAGGGCTGGCACAGAGAACCGTGTCTTTGTGACTCCAAGGCTCACAGTTTTCCTCTCCACTGTTTCTGCCCTCTCTTTATCTCTAGAGTAGGACAAATCTGAGTTAACAGTAGTCTCCAACTTTGCCCATTTAAGTAGCTTGCAATAAAAATGTATCAAGTTTTCCAATACTCATAACTCATTCACTTAGAAAGGCTTATGCCTTTAAGTCAAACTACGTAACTGAATTGGTTAGAAATAAAACATTGATGGTCCTATTTCACACCCTTCAATATCAGGTGTTGCCAAAACCAGCATAAAATTCTTTCTAGGTATTTTCCTTAATTTTAGGATAGCAGACAGCAAATAATTATACTGGCAACAGCTAATGATTATTATGTACTTCCTTTGTACCAGGAGCTATTTTTAACATTTTATATATGTTAATCCTTTTGAATCCCATTAGACATATAAAACATCCACCTGTTTCCCATCTCAGAGGTTTAGGGGGAAGCTGCTATCCCACTTTAGTGTACTCAGCCATCCGGTAGGGGATCTCTGTAACAGTGAATCTGAATAAACAGGCCTCATCCCACAAACCAGCAAAAAATAGTTTCAAAATCTAAATTACCTTAAATGCTTTTTCATTTTATTCAAACAAAACACATAAGTTTCAGAAAACAAAAAGAGCAACAGATGGACAGCGTACGGTATGACAAAAAAATAATGACTTGTAAATTATCAAGGGTTCATGAGGGAGGGGGGAACGGGGAGGGAGGGGAAAAAAATAAGAAACTGATGCCAGGGGCTCGAGTGGAAAGCAGATGTCTTGAGCATGATGATGGCAACAAATGTGCACAATGGACGTATGTATAGATTGTGAGAGCCCCAAATAAAATGATTAAAAAAAAAAAAAGTTCAACAGAGTAATTCAATCTTGTAAGAGCTAATCTACTGAATCTTTCAAACATCTGTTAGATGCATGAACTTTTTATCATACCTGAGGTAGTGAAACACAAAGAGGTGAAGAAACTGGTCCAAGGTTATATAGCCCAGTAAGTGATCAAAGCTTGGATTTGAAACCAAACAGATAACAAAAAGCCTTTACTCTTACCCACTTTGGAAGAAAGATGAGGCTGTTGAGATTTAGTTTCAGAAAGCATATATAGACTCAAGGAGAGTGGTTTTGTTTTGGGTTTGGTCTTAATTCAGTTATACAGACTCTCAATGAGCAAAGAGCCCTGATACTAAAATTTTTATTTTCTAAGTCAGAAATGGCTTTAAAAAAAGGGAGGGGGTGGCGCGCTAATTCATCAGTGATAACTCAGACTCCAAAAACCAGGTAAAGGTGCAAACTTAAGGATTTGCATTTAGGGAAAATATATGGACACTGAAAATTCCTGCATTTAAAAAGGATATCATACAAAGTTTAAAATATCAATATACAATAGGAGTAAGTATGTAGAATGCTTCTATAACTCAAAAGACTCTGGAATTTATAAGATATATTTTGAAATGAGTATTAAAAAGATTACCCAGCAGATAAATGGACAGATGATATAATTAAGCAGGTCACAAGAAAGGTGATCCAAATGATGGATGCATAAAAAGATCCTTGAGAGAGAGGAGTCAAGATGGTGTACAGGTAAACTGTAATTTTGCTACTGTTATGAATCGGGTGATGCCTGTGAAAAGGTCATTTGACCCCTAAAGGGGTCGCGAACCACAGGTTGAGAACGACTGACCTAGAGATTCCGGTGGTGGAGCAACAGCAATCTAGCTGAGAGGAATTACTAAGAGGCAAAAGGCTGGTGAGTGTAATGATGGGGTAGGAGGAAGGTAAAAGGAAACAGAGGAAAGATCTAGGAAGCAAAGCTATGGATAGATGTATAAACATAGATGTGCACTTATGTAAATATATTAGTTCATAAAAATAGAGGTATTGGCCTATGTACATATATTTATATGGCAATACATTGAGGAAGTGGATGGACATTGGGCCTCTGCTCAAGCCCTTCCTCAATGCAAAAACACTTTGTCCTAACAACAAGGAATTCTGTGATGCTCACCCTCCCCGGCACAATCGCTGAAGACAAAATGGGTGCATAAGCAAATGTGGTGAAGAAAGCTGATGGTGCCCGACTATCAAAAGATATAGAATCCGGGGATTTAAAATCTTGAAGTTAAACAAGTGGCCATCTAGCAGAGAAGCAACAAGCCTACATGGAAGAAGCACACCAGCCCGTGAGATCATGAGGTGTCGAGGGAATCAGTTAACAGGCACCAGAACAGCAAAACAAACAAACAAAAACATAATTGTTGAGAACCAGGGGTGTTGGAGCTCATACCCTAAACCCAATAGGACATTCCCTCACAAAAGGGTCACAAGGAAGGATGAGTCAACTAGGGAACAGTATAGCACCGATGAAACACACAGTATTATTCTGGTTTTGAGGCTTCCTCACCCCCAACTATCATGACCCCCATCCTGCCTTCTAGTTCTGGCTACACTGAAGCATGTACACTGGTACAGATATGAGATCTCAACACATGAGATCCATGTCAGATAAATCCCTCAAGAACGGAAATGGAAGTAGTGATACCAGGAAGGTAGGGGAGCAATAAGGAGGGAAGGGGGAACCGATCGCAATGATTGACACATAATCCACCCCCTCCAGGCGGTTTAACAACAGAAATGTGGGTGAAGGGAGACAGCAGCCAGTATAAGATAAGGAAACAATAATAATTTAAAACAATCGGGGTCACGAGGAGGGAGGTGGGAGCAGGGAGGGAGGGGGAATATGAGGAGCTGATACCAAGGGTTCAAATAGAAAAAAATATTTTAAAAATTATGATGGCAACATATGTACAAATATGCTTGATACAACTGATGTACAGAATGTTCTAAGTGCTATAAGAGCCCCCAATAAAATGATTTTAAAAAACCAAAGATCCTTGAATTCATAAAGAAAACTGTAATTTAAAATATTAATAGATTGTATTTCACACAGATCATTATTAATTTTTAAAATAAAATTTATAGTACAGAAATGGAGCAAGGAATTGTTGCTGTGGGAAAGGAGATGGGTTCAAGATTCTTTGGGGAACGGTGGTTAGCAAAAAAGGAGGCCATGCGTATTCTGCAGCCCAGCAATTCCACTCCCAGGTAACTAACATGGAGGGAATATATACACATAGCAGGTATCTTCATCATAGGCGCACTTTTTGTCAATCAAAAGCTTCACCATAATGAAGAGATGTTAGCAGAGATGGTACACCAGAACAATAAACAATATGGCTAAATATAAAAAAAGTAATGCGTGCGGAGAAATGCATTATGTAACACTTTAAATGGAGTTTAAAAATACACTATAAAAATACACTGTATACTAGATGTTACATAAAACATTAAATGGACCAATAGAAAGCCGGTGTATTTCTGGCGAAGGAGGGAAGGAAGATCTGATGCTAAGCATAAGGGGTTCTCGATGGACAGTGTTGTTTCTTTACTTGAGAAGTACTTACATGGGTGTACTATTATCTACACATCTTTTGTATTAGGTTAAAAAATTTTAAATTGACATTTCTAGATTCAGAATTACTGTATTTTTTCGTAGTGTTTGAAAACAGTTTTACATTTCAATGTAGCATCTCCAACAAATTCTTTTGTTTTAAAAGGCAAGGAAAAATTACTCATTCACATTGATTAACCAAATTAACTCTATGACTAAAAATGTAACTCCTAAAATACAAGAAAAAAAAGGAACACATTTTCACATAAACCAGGTCAGTACTGAATAGCTGCATTAGGATTACTAATTATAGTTACTATAACAATATCAACATCACAGCAATAGCTACATCACACCATACTATTAAGTTTATGGTGAGTGAAAATAAAAATTTTTAAAGTAATGGCAATGTTCAAATTATAAGGGCAAACTATTTTGAAGCAATAGCTAACCATATTTACAGACTTGAACTTACCAATTCCCATAGTCAAAATCAAAGGCAATAGTAATTTCTGTTCCTTTTGGAATATTTTGTACAGAATAAATATAAAGATGTATGGTTCCATCTTCAATTTCATGCCTCACCTGTTAAACAAATTTTTATTTATATAAATTATTTTCTACATTAGAAACATCTCATCCTGTAATATTAAATAGGGAAGCTGGTGAATCAGTTTTGAAACTGGATCTTCCTGTTGACTGGCAACCAACCCCATGTGGCATAAAAAAGGTAAGATAAAATAAAAACCACTGTATTTTATAAATTCCAACTTTTTCCTTTCCCCACATTTTAGTGTGTCTGAAATAGTCTTTACAGTAACTGCATCTTAATTTTAACTAAATGAAGTCATTGTACAGCAAACACATTGTTCTGGGTGGTTTACATGTATTAGGTACCTTCAGTCCTCAGACCACTTCTTTTTGTTAAAATCATTTTATTGGGGGCTCGTACAACTCTTATCACAATCCATATATCCATCCATCCATTATGCCTTACACCATTTTTTATAGATAAAACAGGCACATTTTAAAATCTACTTTAGCTTTCAGCTTTGTCATTGAACTGGATGAAAGCATATTATACACTTAACCTTGGTTGTCTATGAATGTAGTTTCTAGGGTAAGCAGAAAGTGAGTGGGGTATTTTCTCTTGCAGGGAACATCACAATATCTTCAATGTGTACAGTAACTTTTAAGACTTCAAAGTTACATATCACCTAAATTTTCAACAATGAAAAGATGGTATTTATCAGTAGATGAGATGCATAGGCTACCAGATCATGTACTTAACGTTCAGATCTCTGTCCCAGCCCCTGCAAAAGATTTCTATAAGCATACCTCTGCATTAGGTGTACAAGAACGTCTGATGAACCGGGCTTCATTCCCAAAAGTCCTAGCATCAACACACATCTCCAGCCCATGAAACTTAGAATAAAATAAAACAAACGGGTATGGTCTACAAAGAAACAAATGTATTATAAGACATTAATGTTTGAAAATAGCAACCTCCTGTTAGTCTTCAGAGGTGAGACATATTGTGTGAGCCTTTTAGAGGTTAAATTCTCTGCCTAAACTGCCTCACATGGCAGATTAATTAAAAATAATTTCTAAAAGGCTCAAACAATATGTAGCTGAGCCAAGATATGAATATAAGCAGTCTGATTTCCTAAGCCACTGTTAATTAAGGCTTACTTGCCCTTATAACCCTACCTTAATCAAACACAATTGAAGGTAGAGATTGAAACTTACAAATATACAAGACTGATTCACAATTTACAAATTTACAAACTGATTCGTAATTGGATGCCTTTAAAATCCAATAATTTCTGGTGCATTTAAAAGTGTTTGATTTCAGAACAAATCTGGTACATAACAGAATTCTTTTGTATCATCTGTTCAATCTTAAATAAACCTTTCAAGTTATAACCAACAAGAAATGTTTTTAATGATTGGCGGTCATTCAACCGGGAATGTCATCTCCAAGTGACAGGAACACACTGCTAGCCTTTAGGGAAGCAATGAGTAGGATCATGTTGCCCACAAAAATCCAAAATCATAAAAGAGGTCTCCAATGGCATTCCAATACCAAGAGAGTAGAGGTTGAAAGTGGTGGCCACAATGTAGGACCAAATTGAACACTTTAATCAAAGGAAAGGAGCTTTGCCTGCAGTCACTCACTGGGGGTCTTTATCAGTTCTGGCAATTAAGAAGAATTAACACAAGACCTGGATAGACGAGATCTCTTGCAACCTCAGGTAAAACCATAGTTCCTGATTAACATTTGTCTAGATTAGTGTCCTGGTGGTGAGATCCAGTAAGCAATGGGCTGCTAACTTCAAGGTCAGTGGCTCAAAACCACTAGCTGCTGTGGGAGAAAGATGAGGCTATCTGCTCCTAGAAAGATTTCACACAAAAACTGTCATCCAGTTGATTCTGACTCACAGCACCCCTACAGGACTGAGTAAAACTGAGGCTGTAAATCTTCACAGGAGCAGAAAGGTGTCCTCCTATGGAGCAGCCAGTAGGCTTGAACTGCTGACCTTGTGTTAATTAGCAGCCAAATGCATAACCAACAGCCTCAGAAACCAAATCAAGCAGTCACTCCTTTGGAGAAAGATGAGGCTGTCTAATCCCATAAAGACTTATAGTTTCAGAAACCATAAAGAGAAGGTCTAGTCTGTCCTATTGGGTCATTGAGTTGGAACTGACTTGATAGCAATAGGTTTAGTTTTTTTATCTCGGTGTCAGGTCCCTAGGTGATGCAAATGGTTTGAACTAGCTGAAAGGTTGGAAGTCCTAATCTATTCAGAGAAAGACCCGGTGGTATGCTTTCATAAAAATTACAGCAAAGAAGAACCTGCACAACACAGGTCTATTCTGATACATAGGTGGCAAAGAGGTCACGTGACATAGGAGCAGAGTTTCTTCTTTCCTTACATTCCTTCAGTTTACAGTAGAAGCACAGGCATACTTCATTTCATAGTGTATTTTACTGTGCTTCACAAATACTGTATTTTTTACAAATTGAAGGTTTATGACAATCTGGCATTGAGCCAGTCTGTCAGTGCCATTTTTCTAATAGCATGTGCCCATTTGATGTCTCTGGATCACATTTTTGCTCATTCGCACAATATTCCAACCCTTTCCACCATGTTATTGCACACTCAATAGATTACATACTATAGGGCAAACACAAACTTCCATGTGCACTGGGACTCCAAAACACTATATTTTAATACTTGCATTATTGCAGTGCTCTGGAACTGAACCAACAATATCGCCAAAGTAGGCCTGTAGAATAATTTCGGATTTTTAGCAAAAGATGATGGGCAAGAGACTGAGAAGATCTCTGACCCATTCTCTACTGTTTTTAATGCTCCATTTTATTACAGTGTTACAGTTATCATGAGTCACTGCTGTTCAACCACACTAGTTGAAATACATACATTATCACTCAGAGAAAAAATACCTATATTTACAATAGTTTGGTGAAACTCTAAAAGCCCTGAACCCAAAAAGTTCCAACTACAGAAAACTAACTACAAGAAAAATGAAAGACTGTACCTCTTAAAGAAATATCCATTTGCTTCAAACTGTTCTCTCAGCATAAACTTCCCTCTGTATTCAATAATAAGTGCATCAGGAGGCAAATCTTTCGCAGACTTCAAAATTTTCTTATTCTTTTGTATATGGCTCTAAAATCAGTAAATGTTGAGATGAATTAAGCCTAGTCATTTTCGATCTAACTACTTAAAATACAGTAAAAAGGGTTTTGTTTTCAAATTTTTAACCAACTATATTTACCTCTACAGGAGGTTTGAAGAGTAAATTATTGGTATTCAAATCAGGTTTATGCATTTCCTTTTTATCACTTCCATTGCCTAATCGCAGAGCTATTCTTTGTGCCTCCCGCTGAACCCCTTCACTATACTGGTTATTATTTGCCTCTTCATATCGATCCATCCATGCTTTAATTTTTGTCTCCCATCCAAAATTTGAACCCTCAGATGAAGGATCAATCTCTGGAGCTGAACCCTAAAATAATTACAAGCGAACCATTAATATATAAATATAACATATTCATTCACAAACATATAGAGCATACATGACAATCTACATATGAGAACATAAAATAAATTATAAGATTTGGTATTCTAAGTTGATCTTTTTTCCACAAAGAAGTCAGCAGTCTACTAATGTAATTGTAATAATTATTTTGAATTTATATTCATATGTTCAGATTTTATTTATTTTTAATTCTTTTAAAAAAAATTTTATATTGAGGACTTGTACAACTCTTAGCACAACCCATCCATCCATCCATCCATTGTGTCAAGCACATTTGTACATTTGTTGCCATCATTCTCAAAGAATTTGCTTTCTGGTCTACTATATTTGTACACAACAAGCCAGACAAATACTAGTTAGGAAACTGAAGGAAGTTGCAAAAAGTCAGAATAGCATTAATTCAAGATCCACATTTGTAACCACATCACAATTGTAACCACGTTGAAAATTAAATGAAATTGGAAATGCCAAAAACACTGGAGTCAATTCCAGTTAATGGTTCCAAAAAGAGAAATGTATGAAATATCTGATTTCACTAGTTCCTAAATGCTCCCCACCACCACCACCACCACTATCATGATCTGAATTCTATCTTGCAAGTCTGGCTAGACCAGAGGATGTACACTGGTACAGATAGGAACTGGAAACACAGGGAATCCAGGGCAGATGAGCCCTTCAGGACCA